AAGGCAGGAGGCACCCTTGGGGCCAGCAATTGACAAAGGATGTTTTCCCCGGTTCTCTGAGTTAACTTTCTGATGCCAATTTAAAACAGTGGCTGGCAGGAATTGAGCTGCACGGTCCCAGGTCCCAGGCCTCATTAAAAGTAGTGTTAGTAGCTCCCACGGGGACTCTGAACAACAGTTCTCCCCATGGGATCATTGTGACCAATTTACTCCACCCACCCTGTGCTGGCACACGAAAAAACAAACACCAAGGAGAAAAACAGAGCCCTGAGTTTGGCAGAAGGATTTGGGAATAAATCAATTTGAACCCATTCAGGAGAGTTAGACTCTGAAATAGCTAGAGGAGTATTGCCCTGTGGTGCTGGGGACTAATTAGCCAGCTGGCACCCAGGATGTTTTTGTCACTTGGATTCTTCTATCTGCCTGATGACAGGAGCTGCTGCTGAAGTTTCTTAATTCTCTGTGGCTCCCTTGGCAAAGGACTCAGGCTCAATAATTGGCAATTCTTGGAGACACTATTTTGCAAGCTTTTTTTTTTTCCCTCCTGCTGGCTAAATATTCATCAAGAAACTTTGTAATTAAAATGCAAGTAGTGGTTCTGCCCTGTGACTTGGTGGGCAAAAGCACTTGACCCCAAGCATGATGGAACCTGAGTTCCATCCCCAGGGTCCAAAGGATGGTGAGAGAAACCAACTCCAGGGGGTTGTCCGATGCCTTCCATACGTGTATAAACACACACACATACACACACACAAATAAATGGATGTAAAAAATTTTAAAAGAATAATACAAATAGTTTTCCAGTTTCCAATGACAGAAACTAAGGCTGATTAGAAAGCACAGTCCTCCCTACAGATTACTCTATGTTGCCATCTCTCATCTCTACACTATGTGGTGTAGACCTTTCTGGATGTACCATGCATCTGATTAGCTAGCTAGCTTTTTGGGGGGGGGGTCAGTTATCAATATATTATGAAGATATTATTCTTTAGTGGACACTAAGTCATGGGTTGGATGGGGAAAGAGGCTCTGAAAAGCTTCTGTCCCACAGCAGAAGAGACTTTGAAAGTCTCTACTGTGGGGCTGGAGAGATGGCTTAGTGGTTAAGAGCACTGGCTGCTCCTCCATAGGTCCTGAGTTCAATTCCCAGCAACCACATGGTGGCTCATAACTATCTGTAATGAGATCTGGTGCCCTTTTCTGGCCTGCAGGCATATGTATAGACACTGTATACACAATAAATACATACATCTTAAAAAGGAAGAAAGAAAACTTTGAGTTTGAGGCCAGCCTGTTCTACTGAGCAACTTCCAGGACAGCTTCCAAAGCAACAGAGAAACCCTGTCTCAAAAAACAAAACAACAACAAAAAGCCTCCACTGTAAATGATATTTTGCCAGAAGAAAGCTTTAAACACTGGGTAATGTATATATGCATTGATGTATCATATGGTACCCAATCGAGAGAATTTAAGAGTATCAGTTACAGTGAGGGCTGGAGAGACAGCTCAGTGGCTAAGAACACTGGCTCCCCTGACAGAGGACCTAGGTTCGAGTCTCAGCACCTACATGATAGCTCACAACCATCTTTAACTCCAGTTAACGCCCTCTCACAGCCCCCAAGGGCACTACAGGTAATCATCCTGAGACGACTCGGTAGTTAAGAGCATGTACTGTTATAAAGGATAAGTGGCCGAGCTGAAAGTTATAGGGTCCTGGCACATCCCACAGTCAGGAGGAAATGCCAGGAAAACCATCTGAGTCACCTTGGCAGATTCCGGGGCAGGGGGAAAACACGCCAGGCAGACAGAGTTTAAGTGAGAAGTTTTATTAGAAAGGGAGGGAGTGGGGGTAGGACAGAGGGACGGAGGGAGGGAGGGAAGGAAAGAGAAAGAGACACAGAGACAGAGAGAGGACAGAAGAGAAGAGGGAGAGGAAAAGTCCTGTCTGCCCCAAGGGAGCAGAGGGAAGAGAGCATAAGTGGGCGGGGTCTTTCTTTTAAAGGGTCCTTTGCACCTGCGTACAGCCTACTTAGCCGTGGAACCCTGGTCTGACACGGGCACTGCCTGGTTGCATTCTGCCAGGTGACAGGGCAGGCAGCATAATGCCTGAATCCTTACATACTCCACTTGCAGAGGACCTGGGCTGGATTCCCAGCACCCGCAATGATGGCTTGCAACTCCAGCTCCAGGAGATCCGACATCCATCCTTTTCTGGCCTCTCTGGGCCACTATACGCTCATGCACAAATCCCATTGTCTCCCCCTACATACATAAACACATACTTAAATAAATACTTCTTAAAACGCACACGGCAGCCATGGTAGTACACGCTACGGTGTTAGACTCTCACACTTCACAACTGAATTCCGTTTCAGGTCTCTGAGGACACACAGGTGTCTCTCCCAACAAAGAGCTAATTATCCACTATAGCATTCAGGGTCTAGGGAGAACGCGGAGAGCCTAAGTCAGCCTCACAGTATCTCAGGGACAAACCCAGCAACCCCCTTCTGGGTCACATCCAAGCTTATGCAGATGTGTCCAAAAATAATAAACCTAAACCTCAGCCAGTTAGAAATATACCAATGTAACTGATGCTTGCTTAACCAATTAAATTTGAGGTCATCTAATTAATCTTAAAACTCCTTAACTATACTTAAAAGGAGCCTACAGGAGCCTACAGGTTCCTCTCGGGATCCGTCACCGTTTTGCATGTGGTATAAAAAACACTTTGCTCTTACATGCAGTTTGAGTCTGCGGTCTCCCTTCAGCATTTCCTCAGACCCAACAATGCCTGTAAACCCTCCACTCGGGAAGAAAGGGCAGGAATGGTCAAGAATTTCAATCAAGCCTCAGTTGGCTCAGCAGTTAAGAGCACTGGCTGATGTTCCAGAGGACCCAGGTTCAATTCCCGGCATCCACATGGCAGTTCACAACTATCTATGACTGCAACTCCACGAGATCCGATGCCTTGATTCAGACCACCATAGGTACCGGAAACACTCACAATGCCTGTAAATAAATAAACCTAAAAACACTGAAAAGAAAACCACTCCCTTGGTCGTTACACTGTCAAGCAGAACCAGGTTGTCCCACAGGTGAGAAAAGGGCCCTTGCTGCCACCTGCTGGACATTTCCATAACTATACATGATGCTAAGAAAAAGAAAAAGACAAAACTTTAATGCTTGGCTAGATGTCTTGGCTTAGATCTGTAATCCCAGAACCCAAGCCCTTAAGCAAGGGGTGGTGAATTCAAGGTTAGCCCGGGAAACAAGGTGAGATCCTGACCCAAACTTATTTTGAGCTCCAGGTGATGGAAATGATAGCTCAAGCCTGTAATCCCAGAACTCTGAAGACAGAGAACAGGAGGCTAGCCCATGACCATCCTGAGCTACACAGTTCTCGGTCACTCAATGCTGCATATCAAAACCTTATCTCGAAAAGAAAAAAAATGCCTGTCGGTGGTGGTACACACCTTTGATCCCATCACTCGGGAGGCAGAGGTAGGTAGATCTGGGTTCGAGGACAGCCAGGGCTACACAGAGCAACCTTGTGAAAAACAAAATAGAAAGAAAAAAAGATTTACAGAATAATTGAGGTGGATGAGCTGGTACTCATGGGTAACTACACTCTGCCATTCAAAACCTGCCCCTAGTCACTACATTCAGAACCAAAGATGTGCCCTGGTCACTACATCTAGGACTGAAGATGTCTCAGTTGTCAGAGTGCTTAGCTAGTGTGAAGAAGCCCGAGTTCAATCCCCAGCACCAGATTAAAAAAAAAAAAAAAAAAAAAAAAAAAAAAAAACTGGACTTGGTGCTGTATACCCACAGCCCCTGAATTTGGAAGATGGAGGTTACAATTCCATTCCCAGCACCCACATGGCAGTTAACTGTAACTCCAGTTCCAGGGGATCCATCACTCTCATACAGACACACATGCAGGCAAAAAACCACCAATGCACGTGAAATAAATACATTTTTAAAAAAGGGACTCAAGGTCATCCTGGACTAAAATATGTGTGACCATGTCTCTAACTTTGTAGGATGTGACCCTGTGAAGGAACTTTTGCCAGCCATTGCCATCTGTATCCAATCCCAGCAGCCCAGTGTGCAAAGAGGAAACCAACTCCTTCAGGCTGCACCGACCTCCACACACGGTGCCATGGTATTGACTCACGAATACGAGTCGCACCTTTAATCTCAGCGTTCTAGATAGAGGCAGAGGCAGGATGATCTCTGTGACCTCAAGGCCAGTCTGAGTGGGCTTCAGGCCAGCCACAGCTACAAAGGAAGAACTTGTCTCAAAGTTTACATGAGAAGTCTTAATTTAAAAACATTAACTATATGTTCTAAATATTTACCTGAAACTCAGTTTTCATAGTTTCTCTGTGTAGCCCTGGATGTCTTGGAACTTGCTCTGTAGACCAGGCTGGCCTGGGACTCAGAGATCCCCACCTGGTCTCTGCCTCTGAGTGCTGGGATTAAAGGCGTGAGCCAGCCGACACCTTGTTCTGAAACTCTCAATTTTCATTGAAATATTAAGAAAAATAGTAACGGAGAAATACACACAGCTTACTGTAAAAGCATTATCCTTGGCCAGGTTGTTTATTGGGAAATCACATTTACAGCATTATGAGGGCTCACTCCCATTTTGTTATTCACTCCCATTTTGTTATTCAATACTGACAACTTGAGAACGTCAACCAAAAACAACGCCTAACAAACACCTGCCGAGGAGGGCCATCTCAACACTGGGCAGGATCACAAATTCATAGCCATTACGGGCTACCTAGGGAAATAGTGGGTCTCTTGAATTTCAAGCTAGCCAGGACAGCCAGAGGTACACAGCGATTCCTGTCTCACCAAACAAACACCAGGATGTCCTCAGACCTTCAGAGAGATGAGACATCCTTTTAAGTGCTCCCAAGGAAGGTGTGGTCATGGAACGGGGGTAACCTAGCAACAGTCTCTCTAGGGGAGGGGGGATACAAAAAACCATTTCAATCTGGGGATAGCATCACGGGCGCCATTCTTGAGTGGGTTTTCACGTGTCGCTTCAGAGTGCCCTGCTGCCGGAAGGCCGCGTCACATTCCTTGCAAGCGTAGGGTCTCGCGTCGCTGTGGATGCGGAGATGGACGTTGAGGTTGCCCTTGTGGCTGAAACACTTCCCGCAGTGCTCACACGTGTACGGCTTCTCCTTCGTGTGGATCCGGTTGTGGCCCAGCAGGGTGGACTCGTGCGCAAACACCTTGCTGCAGACTCTGCACACGTACGGCTTCTCACCGGTGTGGGTGCGCTGGTGCACTCGGAGGTCCGAGGACTGCAGGAAACCCTTGCTGCACAGGCTGCACTCAAAGGGTCTCTCTCCCGTGTGTGACCTCTGGTGGATGATAAACTGAGACCTGTAAAGGAAACCCCTCTTGCATTCACGGCACTCAAACCGAGCCTGGCCCGGGAGGGGATCAACCGGCTCTACAGGCTGTGGTTGGGCAGCCTTTGCTAGCTTCCCATCTTCAGTACTGTCCGCACAGGAGGCCCCTCCTCTGCAAGTAGGAGCTTGGGGACCGCAGAGACTCTGAAGATCTGCACTCAGGGCTGTATCTCTTTTTTCTAGAATGTGGGTGAACGGTGTGACAGCATCCAGTTTTGCATCTTCCTGGGGCATCGTGGCATCTGATGGGAAGGGATTCCACACATACAACATTTAAAACTTGAGAGTCCCGTCTCAAAAGCATGACATTTAGTTACTGGATTACGGAGAGAGGTGCCACCCTAGGAAATATGGAGGGCGGAGAGGGCAACTTTTTGGGGTTGATTCTCTCCTGTCACCACGAGGGCCCTGGGAATTGAACACAGGCAGTCAGGCTTTGCCGCAAGCCCACTGAGACACACAGCACTTCTAAAGACCACCCCAGCCACACCAGACCCTTTGGGACTAAGCTCTGGTGTTGGCTGGGAACATTCCATCCACACCCCAAGCCTCAGAGCTCAGCCTGTAGAATTCTCTGGAAAGCTAGAGATGGAGGGGAGTGGGAAGTGGGGGGTCCAGTCCCCCACACACACAAAGGGATGGGAGTGGGGGACAAGGGATACTAAGCCCCCGGTGAGTTCCCACCTGGTACTCACCAGGACCCTGTGCTGGCTGAGGGTCCTGAGATACAAGCATGGAGGCCTTGTCCCAGCCCCGCACAGACTCACTCCCGGAGTCCTGCTCAGCTCTCCGGCAGTCTGGATCTTTGCTCTCAGGGACCGTCTGCATCAAGGATTCTTGTTTCTTGACAGGAGACAATGACAGAACGATTATGGGTATGTGCTGGTTCGGGGGAGAGGTGGAGCATAGAAACCTGTCTCTACTTGATTTGGGCCATTAAGTTTTTCCTGGAGTTGTGGGGGCGCTCATACTTACTCCTATGGCCCACCCCGATCAAGACCCCACATAAATAAATATTCTCCTCTTACGTGCAAGTCTGTCATTCATGTGGAGAAACCAGGCCTCTAAACCTTAGATTAGTTGCCACTCTAAATCTCTATGCACGTTTGGCCCCAGCCCTTGACTCAACATGCAAATTGCCTCTCCACCTGGTGCTATTCAGAGTTGGGGATAATGAGACTAGGAGGGATGGTTCAGAGGTTACGAGCACCGAGGGTAGGGAGTCTGATACCCTCTTACTCCCACAAGCACCAGGCACACACAAAAGCTAAATACATATAAAGGCAGGTGGTAGGTAGTCCCAGCACTGGGGAGGCAGAGCCAGGCAGATCTGTGAGTTCGAGGCCAGCCTGAGCTACAGAGCTAGTTCCATGGCAACTAGGGCTGTTACACAGAGAAACCCTGTCTCCTCCCCACCCAAAATAGGATAACTTTCAAAAACAAACAAACAAAAAAGAAAGTTGAATGAGTATTTCTGATGTGGGGAGGGGTCTCCTCTGCCATATATTGTGGACTGCTACACCTTTGATCCCAGCACTCAGAAGGCAGAGGCAGGCAGATTTCTGAGTTTGAAACCAGCATAATAAGTTCTAGGACAGCCAGGGCTATGTTGAGAGAATCTCTCATAAAAGGGGGAAAAAAAAAAATTCTAGCCACCAGATCAGAAGTGAAGGTTGACAGATCTAAAACATTTCCAGAGGGTGTGGTAACCCAGATCAGTAATTTCAGCTGTTGGTAGGTAAAGGCAGGAAGGTCACAAGTTCAAGACCAGCCTTCCATATGTGGCTAGTTGAAATCCAGCCTGCTTCAAACAAAAAGAATCCTAAAGCATCCCTGAGCTATCACCCCCTGGGGCCAAACAGGTCCCTAATAGAAGACTACTCCCTTCACATTTTAAAGGGCCCAGAAATCAAACTGATTTCGTCAGGCTGGGCAGCAAGTGCCTTAACCACTGAGCCATCTCTCCAGCACTTTCTACACTCTGTTGTAAGTTATTGTTTATGTGCCTATGAGTATATGCCATTTATATGTTGGTGCCCAAGGAAACAAGGCGATCGATCCCCCTGGAGCTGGAGTTAAAGGCAGCCACGAGCGAGCCGGCTGAAGAAGATGCTGCAACTCAAACTCTGGTCCTTGGAGAAAGGGAGTGCTCCTGACAGCTGAGCCAGCTCTCCAGTCCCCTCTCTGCCTTAGTGGGAAGGAGACAGGCTGGCGTGTCTGCTTTTTTTAACCAGTGTCTGAGCTAGTGTTGTCTCCATCTCTGGCTGAAGGGTCTGAACCCAACCCTTACCAAACCTCCCATCTCTCCCCAGAGACTGTGTCACACACTTACCCGACCGACAGACGGCTCAGTCCCTGGCAGGTTCAGGAACTCTATCCTAGCACAGCCACCGCTGGGACTGTCTTGTGACAGTTCCACCACGTCGTCATCCCTGTCATCTGCCTTGGCTTGGGCCACTTCAGAGCCTCCAATTACAGACTGTGATGGGATGGGAACAGGTGAGGACCCAGGTAAGACGCTAGAGTTGCTCTCAAAGCTCTCTATTTCTGACCCAGACTTCGCATTCAAGTGGGGTTATTTGCAAATTTCTCCCTTGACACACCACGAATACAGATCTATCTGCATCACTGGTCTGTACCTTCCAGCACATGCCTCACACTTAAAATAGCCTATCCTCTACAGAAACTTGGAATTATGTGGATGAGCTGGTCCAAGATGAAAGAGAGACGAGAGAGTCAGTCACAGGGAGACAGGCAGACACAAAGGACAGAGACAGAGAGTCAAACGGAGACAAGGAAGAGAGACCATTTTTCTAAATCCAAACTAACCTGCCTGTAATTCTACAACTCAGGAAGCTGAAGCAGTAAGATGAAGTAAGTTTAGGGCAGCTTGGGCTGCAGTGTGAAACCCTGTCTCAAAACGATACCAACACATGCTTCCACTAACCCTACCCAAGGCTCAGGGTCCAGCAGGGAAAAGGGGGTATTATTAAGATTCTAAGAGGCAACTGCTTACACCACCCCTCTATACACTTTCATTCAAATATATATATATAATATATACATATATATATTATATATATATCAATCAGAGGTAGGCGGGATCTGTGAGTTCCAGGTCAGCCTGGTCTACAGAGTTCCAGAACAACCAAAGACACGCACATACAATAATCACCACCAGAGTTTGCCCTCCCCCACTCCTCATCTCTACTCAGAAAAGAGCAGACCTCCCGTGGTGGGGGGAGTTGGGGGCCATGGCATATCAAGTTGTATTGAGACTAAGCACCTTGCCTTGTATTGAGGCTGGGCAAGGTGACCCAGTATGAGAAGCAGGGTCCCAAAGGACAGTAAAATAGCCAGAGACGACACCCCTTGCTCCCACTGTTTGTTAGGAGTTCTACAAGACCAAGCAACATACATAACTGTGACATATATGCAGAGGGTCTAAGTCCCATGCAGCCTACAGCCAACAACACAGCTGGGAAGAGAAAAAGAAATGCCACTGCACAGTGCCTAATGATATTCCGCTGCTGTACATACCCACAGATCAGTACCTATCCCGCTGAATTGTCATCGGAGAGGCTTTTTTCTCCACACACTCAATGCTAAGCTTTACTGCAGGCAGGCAGGCAGGCCGGTCTTCATTCTGCACAGCTGTCCAATCATGGGATACACAGCTACAACCTGTGTTCAACACTCTCAAAAACTCCTACCTTCTAGCTCCTTCTCCCAAGTCACCCCCCCCCCAGAGACTGTCCCACACTTGCCTGACTGGTGGAGGGCTTTTCAGTCTCAGGCAGGTTCTGCAGCTCTGGGCTAGCCTGGCCTCTGCTGGGCGGCTCCTCGCTCTGATTTGACGGATCCTCCATGGCTTCTCTGTTTTCAACCCTGGGATCCCGGCAGAGGTATATCCGTCCTTTCCAGTTGACGATGGACTATGGGGGGGGGAGACAGGATGAGACCCTAGGTAAGAGCCTGGCTACACCTCTTATAGCAGCAGCCCAGCTTGACATATTTGCAAAGCTGTCTTCCTGGACGTGGATCGACCTACAAAGTCATACTCAGCTACACATGGTAACTGGGGAGGGACCAGGCCGGGCTACGTTAGACCCTGTCTCAATACAGTAAACAAGGAGAGGGGTGGGGGCTTGGGTTCAATCCCCAGCACCCACCCTCCTCCCAAGAGCCACTAACTAAGGAAGGGTGAAACCATCCATCAGTGGGGTCTGCCTCCATCGAGGCCTCTGCTTACCCACTGGCGAGGCCTCTCATCTTCTCTCAGCATCTTCTCCAGCTCCTTGCAGCTCTTCACCCCACTCTCCTTGACCAAAGCCTGCAGTTTTGGCGGCACTGAGATCATAAATTGCTCCAGTATCAACTGATCCAGGATCTCCTCCTTGCTATGGAGGTCGGGTCTCAACCACTGATGGCACAGCTCGGAGATCTCCTTGAGACACTGGATGGGACTGGACCTCTTTGAGGGACAGAAACTTCGGAATTTCAAGTGCCAAACCTCAGGGTTACAGCCTGGCTTTTCTGTTTCCTGGGATGCTGATGATGGGCGCTGTTTGGACGGTAGGCTGTCTGTCGGCAGGCTTGCAGCCATGTCTGGGTTGAATCCAGACTAAACAGACCTACTCCGTTAACCACGGGGATAGGCTCAGTGTTGGTCTAGAAGCCTGGGAGGCAAGAAGCAACCAGATCAGTTTAATTCTGCTGCCTCCTAAATCTCATCATTCTTCATAATATACCCCCCCCAAAAAAAACCACTGGAACTGTTTAGTAAAGCAGAAATTAAACATCCTATGGATCTGGGAGATGGCTCAGGGGTAAAGGTGTCTCCAGCCAACCCCGATGAGCTGAGCTAAACCCGTTGGAACTATGTGATGGAGAGTACCAACTCTGACAAGCTGTCTTCTGGCCTCCGCCCCATCCCAAGATAACTTTTGTATGTATACGCATTGGTGTTCTGCCTCCATGTATCTGTATGAGGTTTGCCAGAAGCAGATTACAGACAGCTGTAAGCTGCCATGTGGATGTGGGAAATTTGGACCTGGGTCCTCTGGAAGAGCAGCCAGCATTCTTAACCTCTGAGCCATCTCTCCAGCCCCCAAGATAATTTTTTTTAAGTCAATTACTCTATTCTAGCTGTGTATGTTGGAACATACATATCTGTAGTCTCAGGCAAGGGAGAGGTCGGAGCATGACACTTGCCATATTTTTGAAACAAATCACCCTAGGTTGCATAGTAAATACCAAGTCTAAAAGACACAAGGGTTATATAAAACTCTTAAAAAAAAAAAATCAAAGAATGAGCTGGGTGGTGGTGTCCAAACCTTTAATACCAGGGAGGCAGAGGCAGGCAGATCTCTGTGAGCCAGCCTGGTCTGCATAGTGGGTTCCAGAGCAGCCAGGATATAGTGAGGCTATATCTCAAAAACAAAAACAAGAAACCACCCAAACAAACAAAACCCACACAAAATTATTAAATAAAATTTAAAAACTATTGCTATGTGTGTTTATATGCCAATAATCTTAATCACATAAATTAGGTATAAATGACAAAGTATTTATGGCTTAAGATAGCACTTTGAAAATTTAACACAAATGGTTGAAAAAAAAATATTGGTAGCTGGTTGGCAATATACTTTTAATCACAGTTTGAAGCCAGCCTAGTCTACAGATCAGGTCCCAGGACAGCCACAGAGAGCTACACAAAGCCTGTCTCAAAACAAAACAAACAAAACAATCAAAGGACAAAAACATATGGGTGGTGGCTGGATATTGTGAAAGATGAGGTCTTCGTGCTCTCTGTACAGACCAGGCTGGCCTCCTCAAATTCACAGATCCGAATGCCTCTGACTCCCATGTGACACTAAGCTTGGCCAAAAAAAAAAAAAACCTAATAATTTTAATTTGGTGTATGGATGTTTCATACGCATGTTTGCGGGCTGCCATATTTGTACCTACTGCACAGGGCCTTGGTGGCCCTGCCTGGGAGTTGCGGGCAATTGTGAGCCTCAGTGTGGGTGTTAGAGATTAAACCTGAGTTCTCTAGCAGAGCTGTGGGTGCTCTCAACTATTGATACAGCACACAAAATGTCTTTTGAGACAGGGGTTCTCTGTGTAACAGTTCTGCCTGTTCTGGAACTCGCATTGTAGAGCAAGCTGGCCTCGAACTCACTGAGTTGCCTCTGCCTCCCAAGGGCTGGGATTACAGGCGTGCGCCACCACAATGGGTTCTTGTGTTCTTCATCCTCACGACTTGGTATACCTGTGCTAATTAAAAATAACTGCCGGAGCAGGATCTCTGAGTGTGAGGCCAGCCTGGTCTACAGAAAGTGTTCCAGGGTAGCCAAGGCTACACAGAGAAACCCTGTCTCAAAAAACCTTAAAAAGAAAAAGAAAAAATTGACCTGGCTGGGGCAGGAGGATGGAAGTTCCAGGCCAACCTTATCTCAAAAGAATATATAAATAAACAAATTCAAGCACGCAACCGCCTGACCCAGCAGCCCAGCGTCGAGATAGATTAGGAGCTAAGTGGAAACCACGCTCGCTCGGAGTCTGTAACAGCAGCATTGTGAGCTACCAGGAGGAGCCGGGCACGGAGGAAGAAAGATGTTCATCCAGGACACAGTAGGAGTTCTTAGGTCCCCGGGGTTTTTCTTTTTGCTTGCTGAGAACGCTTCACCATGGTGCCCTATCTGGCCGGGAGCTCGGGCACTGACGGCATCCTCCTGCCTCAGCTGCCTAGTGCGGAGTTGCATGCACTCCGTGTCCAGCTGAACGTAGAAGCAGCCTCTATTGCATCTGCACCCGAAGACACAGCCTCGCCAACTCACCTTCCTCCGCACTTCACTTAGCACGGGGTCCTGTCTTCGCGCCCCCGCAGCCTCGACTCTTCCCAGCTCTCTCTCTGCAAAGTGCCCGGGATGTCTGGCGTCGTCGCTTTTCTAAGGAACCAAGGGGCTATCTTCCGGTTGCTGATCTGCACAGTGATTGCCTGGAGCCCTTCGACGTCATCTTCGACGTCATTTTAGACATCCCCGGATTAAATTACAATTTAACCCTGGGGCTGCCACATGGACGGAGGGGATTATTTTTTAAATACCAGGGCGTGGTCCTGTAGGCCTGTGATACCAGCTAGCTGATAGGGGAGGATGAGGCAGGGGGATGGTAAAGTCAAGGCTTGCCTGGCCTCCTGAGTGTAAGCCCAGCTGAGGAAACTTAGACCCCTTTTCCAGTTTAAAAAAAAAATGAATAAATAAATGATTTTATCAGACTCAGCTGGGGATGCAGCTCACAGATCAGAGCGTTTGCCTTAGCAAGCAGGAGGCCGAGTGTCTGTTCCTAGCGTGGTATAAAACCGCCTGTAGCCGGGCAGTGGTGGCGCCTTTAATCCCAGCCCTCGGGAGGCAGAGGCAGGCGGATCTCTATAAGTTAGAGGCCAGCCTGGTCTACAGAGTGAGTTCCAGGATGGGCTCCAAAGCTACACAGAGAAATTCTGTCTCAATAAATAAATAAATAATAAAAAATAAAAACCCCATTTTCAAGTCTTTGCTTCTTAGGTAAACTTAACAATAAAAATCATATATATACTAAAAGCATAGCTGGCTGATGGGCAGCACGAACCTTTGATCCCTGCACTCAAAAGGCAGAGGCAGGCAGATCTCAGTGAGTTGGAAAAGAACATTCCAAGCAAAAGCACCTAAGGAGCAAACTGGTGTAGCCTTTTTTTTTTCCCTCTGGTGTAGTCTTTTTAGAAGCTGACAAAATAGACTTCGAATCAAAACTAGTCAGAAGAGATAAGGAAGATCTTTACATATTCATCAGAGGAAAATTCCACCAAGAGGACCTTGCAATAAATAATTCTTAACATCTGGGAACCAAACACAAGGGCACCCAAATTCGTAAAAGAAATACATTGATAGTTGGAGACTTCGATACCCTACTCTCGGATATACAGATCTCTAAAGAACTGGTGTTATAAACTGAATGGATCTAATAGATGTATTTCTTTTAGATATATAATTTTTAATTAATTAATTAATTAATTTATTTATTTTGTTTTTTTTTTGAGACAGGGTTTCTTGTGTAGCTTTGGAGCCTGTCCTGGAACTCACTCTCTAGACCAGGCTGGCCTCGAACTCACAGAGATCTGCCTGCTCTGCCTCCCGAGTGCTGGGATTAAAGGCGTGCTCTAAATTTAATTTCTTTATTGATTCTTTGGGCGTTTCACATCATGCATCCCCACTCCATTTACCTCCCGTCACCCCTGCAGCGCCCCTCCACAAAAGAAAACAAAACAAAGTAAGCAAGCGAACAAAAACAAGAACAACAACAAAATCCAAAGCAGCAAGAAAAAGCCTCTCCGTTTCTCCTTTCCTGCCCCTCTGACACCTCTTCCTCTGTCCTGGTGGCATTGGGGGCCTCAGTGTGCCATACAGTGTGCCCCTTTGTCCCATCACCATATCTGTATGGCCCCTGCCGTGGCATAGCCCCCAGACTCCAACCAAGCTGCAGGCTTTGGCCCAAATTCCAGGCCTCTGTATTGGCCTTAGTGGCCACCTGTGCCACAGACTTCAACACAGACCCCAGTTGCAGCTGGGCCATTTACCCAGACATGGCTCCAGGCAGCAGCTCTGCCTGGGTGACATCCTAGCTCCAGGTGGTAGCCCCGGCCACTAAGATCGGGATGGCTCTGGCTGGCAGCAGCATGATACCTGGACACCAACAAGGCGACAGCATGCAGCCCAGGCCCTAGGCTTCACGTGGCCTTTGGTGGCATAATGGGCCATAGAGATCAACACAGACCTCAGCTGAGGTAGGACCATGGACCCAGACATGGTCCTCAGCAGCAGCCTGAGTCTTCTTGTCACCATGGCCCCTGGACTCAAACATGGCCACAGGAGGTGGCCCAGACCACAGGAATCAACGTGGCACTTGGTGGATGGCAACAGGAACCGTGGACATCAACACAGACCCTGGCCACTGTAGGACCAGGGAGCCAGACCGTGGCACTTGGGCATCAACATGGCTCCAGGTGGCCAGCGGACCTCCTCTCTCTGCCTATTTCTCATTGCCTTCGCCATGACCCCACGTGGCAAGCAGGCCACAAATGTCTGGCCACTCCTCGAAGTCTTCGTTTCCTTTCGTCGCCGTCTTTCTAGAGTCATGAGCCACTCTGCTTCTCTTTCTCATTTCTCTACCACATATTTGCTTATCAAATAATGAGGCCCACATGCATGCCCAGCGTGCAAAGCCAGCCTGATTGGGGGGGGGGGTTGTCCCTCTGTATGTATGCTTCTCTTATTGGTTGATGAATAAAACACTGATTGTCCAGTAGCCAGGCAGGAGGTATATAGTCCGGGCTATGAGAGGAAGAAGGAGAGAGAGGGAAGCCATGTAAACACCAGGGAAGATGCACCAGGCATTCTCTGGTAAGATATGGCCATGTAGAAATACATAGATTAGTAGTTGTGGATTAATAATTAAAAGAGAGCTAGCCAGTAAGAAGCCCTAGGCATTGGCCAACAGTTTATAATTAAATTAGCATTTGTGTGTTTATTTGGGGCTAATCGGCTGCAGGACCAGGCTGGAAAGAAA